ATCAAAGATTCGTTTTTTAGAACGTGCCCTATGCAACCTCATTTTCTCATTTATATTTTAACCTAAACTTTGCCAACAAATTTTAATTTATACTAAGATTCGTTTCTGAAAACGTGCCATATGCAACCCCATTTTCACATTTATATTTTATCCCAAACTTTACTGAAAAGTTTTGATTTAGTCTAAGATTGGTTGCTTTTTTTAAACGTGCGCAATGCACCCTTTTTTAAATTTATATTTTATCCTAAACTTTCCCTACACATTTAGATTAACTTTACCAAAAAAAAAAATAGATTTGATCTAAGATTCGTTTTTTAAATGTGCCCCATGCAACCCCATTTTTTCATTTATATTTTATCTTGAACTTAAATTAAATTTAAAACCTTTTTTTTAAATGGGTCACATGCAACCCCATTCAATAATTTATGTTTTATCCCAAACTAAAAAAAAAAATATATATATTTGATCTGAGGTACGTTTCTCAAAACGTGCCTCATGCACAGCCTTTTTTCATTTATAATTTATCCCAACTTTACCAAAAAATATTATTTAATCTAAAATTCGTTTCTTAAAACGTGCGCTATTTAACCCCATTTTCTCAATGCTATTTTACACAAACTTTACCAAAAATGTTTTAGATTTTATATAAGAATAGTTTTTTTTTATAAACTTGCCCCATGCCCCCCCATTTTATAATTTATATTTCATCCCTAACTTTACTAAAATAATATGATTTAATCTAAGATTCGATTTTTTTTAAAACGTGTGCCATGCACCTTTTAATAATTTATATTTTATCCCAAACTTTCCAAAAAAAAAAGAGTAAGATTTTATGTAAGCTTTTCTCATTTATATTTTATTCAAAATAAACCAATACAATATTTTGATTTAATCTAAGATAGGTTGTTTTTTTTAAACGTGCCCCATGCACCCCAATTTTATAATTTATATTTTATCCCAAGCTTTACCAAAAATAAGTAAGGTTTGATCTTAGACTCTTTTTTTTCAATGTGCCTTATGCATCACCATTTTCTCAAATATATTTTATCCAAACTTTACCAAAAAAAATTAGATTTGTACTAAGCGTTCCACGACATATTAAAAAAAAGATTAATACATACTAAAAACTTACCTCTCAAATATACCCCATTTTGGAACTAATCAAAGTGTAGAACAAAAGTGTAGCCATATATTTCACCCAATTAAATTATGCACAAATACATTTCAAATAATTGAACTTTATTTGTGTGATTTTTACCTAACAATAATGATAAAAAAACTAGACTTTGAACTGTCTCTTTTTAAAATATGGTCACACACTTTGACTTTTTATAATATCGATTTTTTAAAACATACGCTTCCGTTTAATTTTTTCTTTCCATCTTTTAGATCGTTAATATTAAAATATTTGAAATGTGGTTTTGTTAAAAAAATGGTCTTCTGAAGTCACATTAAATGTATATATGTATTCAATATGTGTATTGTAATGCATAATGTTTGTTTTACCCTCTAACAATACTTTATGTATCTTTATATTTTATTCGCACTCTCAACAAATTATCTCGCACAATTTATTGATCCTTTTTTCCAAATTTTATAAAAGCTGTTTCAACTAGCACAAATATAATCAAGGCCGAGTTATGATCAAAATTACTGTAAAATTGCTTTTAATATTGTTATCTTTATTATATTTGTGCATTACTTGGCGTATGTATAACCATTTAGAAACCTATATTGCTATATTTGACGTATTTAATTACACTTTTAACATTACACTAATATATCGTACATATATATCTCGAGGGCTATGGTACATATCAAATAAACTTTACATATATTTCTTTTTTTCATTTTTATATGTGTACTCACATGTATATCCCGAGGGATATAGTACATATCACATTTACTTTACATATAATTTTTTTTTCATTTTTATATGTGTGCATTATTTGGCTAGTGAATACACTATAAAAAACGTCAATTCTTAATTAGACATATTCATTTCTCTCTCTCTCTCTCTCTCTCTCTCTCTCTCTCTATCTATCTCTGTGTGTCTCTGCCTATCTTTCTCTACCTCACACAATCTCTACTTCTACCTCTCTCTTTCCTTTTCTCTCTATATCCATATCCACCTCACTCACTCTATTGCATCCATCTCTTTCACTCCCTCACTAAGTTTCTACTCTCTTCATCCTTTGTTTGAATCTCCCTCGTCGCATCCTTTTTTTCTATTTCCCTCTCTTACCATCCCATCATTTCCTCTCTCCATCTCCCTCTCTCTCTCTCTCCCTCTCTCTCTCTCTCATTCCATCACGATCAGAGTTTCTTCCAGGCATCTCTTCCTAATCTAGCCTCCCGACTAACTCTCGTGTAAATGTGGTACAAAATTTTGACTCATCACAAATATCTGATTTTGTAAAACAAAAATCGTATACGTTTGCTTCGCTATATTTCCTTCTGAATTGTTAACACTAAAATGTGTGGTTTTATTAATTAAACTAAGTTCTTTTGAAGCCCATTAAAGTCACATCTGTAATTACTATATGTATTGTAATATGTGTGTTCATATTTTTGCGATGTTTTATTTTACCCTCTACCAGCAATTGAGTTATCTTTACATTTTATTCGCACTATAAACGTATTAACTCGCACATTTTTATTGAATTTTTCTTCAAAGTTTTATAAATACTTTTTCAACTGACACAAATATCTCAGGTTTATGTTACATATCAAATTTGTTGTAACATTGCTTTAAATATTTTTTTCTTGTTTATCTGTGTTCATTATTTGGCTTATGGATAAAAATTTAAAAACCTACAGTGCTATATTAAACATATTCAGTTGTAAATCTCTCTCTCTGCCTACTTTGTTTTTCCCCATCACAACCTCTACTTCTCTCTCTCTCTTTCTCTCTATCCATCTCGCTATTTTTTATCTTAATCATCTTCATCGTAACTCAACCGTATCCCCGTCTTTCTGTTTACCTCTCTAGCTCTCCCATCATTTGTCATTTGCCCTCTCCATCTCCCTCTCTCTCTGGTACTCAAAAGATCACAAATTACTCTCTACCCAGGGAGTTGACAATAATAAATAGACTCGAAACGATGTTACCTTTTTTATGTGTTTAGAGCAGGATTTAGCTTCCTTCATTAGTGACTGAAAATACCTGGGATATACGGGGCTTAATTAACCAGAGAGACTGATTGTAGTTTGAAATAAAAAAAAAATAAGACGTAAACATGTGCCTCGTTTATATCTGTTTTAATATTCTAAACTTAAATTTAAAAAAAAAGTATTATTGCTTTAATAAATTTGTTTTATATTTTGTCATATTTTTATCGTGTATGTGCTTTAGGTATACCATTTTTATTGATCTGTGTTTCTATCTTGTTTATTCCATTTAAAAGGTTACTAATTAAAAAAAAATTACAATAAAATATTTTTAAAAATGTATTCATTTTTTTCATTCATCTTTCTTTGTTAATGCATGTTGAAACATTGAATGGCAAGCAGTGTGTATCATTCTACATAAATATTTAAATTTAAAATTAAGAACAAAAAGAGTAAAATATTCTTATTTAGTCCTAGCGATCCCTTAGACAGAGCAATTATATGCTCATGTTCATATGCTTATGTGTTTGACCACATCATACGAAGCGAGTGTGTTGTCACCACCATGCCCAGCCGAATTTACTTTCACCAACGCAAGTTAGGTACCCATCAGAGCTGGGTGGACTCTGGGTCGTTCTAATCACAAGAAACATCATTCTAACACACTATATAATAAGTACTTGCATTGGAAAAATTGCAAATGCTTCTCAACATAAACAACAAACCTTTACCCTGAACTTCCATTATCGTTTAATGTTTATGACAAATTATGATCTTTTAAAAGTGTTCAATATTTAAAATACAATTCAAAACCTAAAATCTCGTCTCACCCTAAATATAATCCAAATATGCATTTTTAAATTAGGCCTAAGCAGGTAAACTCAGAAAATACCTTTAAAATATTGTTACCCATATTAAAAGGTAACAAATTATCTACATGAAATGACAGTGTTAGCTTGTTAAGACAGCGTGAAATTGTGCATAAGCCTAATTTTATTCCTGGGTATAAACACGGTGTCAATGATTGCTCAACAAGATAGAGATCGTAATCAAGAAATGGGGAAAAACCGTATAAAAATACGGCAAATAAAAGGCATAAAATTAAACTACACCAATCTCCACATTTGAAACAACTTTAATTAAATCAAATGAGCATAAAAACAAACAACAAAAAATATACCAATTACGTTTTTTTATTAATTATTAAAAATTAATGCACAGCTATAAAACAAAAACTGACATCGTAACAATCTAAGACTTCAATATTTTTTTCTTGGGACAAAACAATATTATAAAATTAATACCATTTAAAAGTGTTTTAAAAATTATTACTGTAGTTTAATTATATTAAAAAAAAAAATTGGTTTAATTATATCAGTGATTTCATAGTATTCATTGTAATTCAGTAGAAGAAGTCAATTATTTAAAACATTCATATAATTAAACCACTTTTTATGTAAAATAAACATAACACGGCTTGTTCATGGGTATCATATTTATAGACATCTTAGGTTATTTATAGACAAGTTCGTCTATTTATTGAAGCCATAACATGCATATCAGTGCAGGTTGAAAGTGAACGATCGTATTGAAAATAATATTAAAAAAATGCATGTTTGTTATACTTAATTTCTCTTAATAAGTAAGTGATGAAATTACGTAATGCAGTGTTTAAATCAGGTGTCTCTACCAATCTCCTTTACCCCCCCCCCCCCTTCCTACCCCAGAACGAAATATAAATTATATAGAGAATAGATACTTTTACCAGTTTCTGTCAACCTCCTTCTCCCCCCCCCCCCCCCACCCCCAAAGTAAAATTTACCCCACAAGTTTCATTTTACGTACCCCTCCCCCTTCACCCAGAGAAAAATCTGGAAAAAACACTGAAAGCAAGAGATTCATATATGGATCGACCGTTTCTCAGAGGACTTGATTTTCATATTTACTGAAACTTTCTTTATGACCTCCTTTCTGTTGTGTCGACTTATTCTGTAAATCGATAATTTTAAAATACTGAATTTTTTCCTAAAATGTCTCTTATTCTATACTTATTAGTAATGGTCTACCCATAATAATACTAACTTGGAAACAGTTAACTTTATATATAGTATTTATTATCTATGATTATTTCCTTTAATATACAATATGAAATAACTAATATTTTAGACATTTAAAAAAAGAATATTACACATGAATTATATTTGATAAGGTTGTGTTGTGATATTGTGACACTCAAGTGTGGTCTTAATTTTTGTGACAATGTGTCACACTATAATGATCGGGGGAGGTGGGTGAGGTGTTGATGTAATTACGACACAAATGTGACGTCACTTCAGTAGACTTACGTTACTAACGGAGAATGTCCAGGTTAAGCTGTTGTAGTCTTCCTGGTTTGGTTTGTAGCGATGTTTGATCAGAACAAACCCAGCGCGAACCTGGACGATAGTCAGAGATAATTGTTACTATAAAAAAAAATTAGATTTCCTTGCGAACCAGATGGTCCATGGGGCAAGTGAAGTAGAGTCCACCTGTTTATGTGACCTCGGTATATGAAAGGAAAATGTGAACAGTATGCCCAGCCGACATTACTTTCCCTAACGTAAGTTAGTTAACCATGAAAGCTGGGTGGATTCAGCGATGTTCTATTGTTTAAACCTTAATTGGATCCCGAGTTAGCAGACTAGCGCTCTACCGCTAGTCCATGCCGTCCCACTTGCTACTACAATAAATATGTGTTATGTGGTCATCTTCTATATATTGCTCTCCATTATCTCCGTCTATTACGATCTCATCCTCACTTTTTCTCCCTTTTTCTCTGCCACTTTGCTTGTATGGGATGGCGTGTTCTAAGTGGTAGAGCTGCCAACCTGAAGGCCTGGAGTTCGAAATCCAATGAACTCTACTTCATCTGTCCAATGGATCTCTAGGTCTAAAGATGATTCTTTACTTTATCCGTATGTCTCTCAATGTCTCTCCCTCTGTCCACCTCCCTCTCTGACTCCCTCTATGACTCCCTCTCTGACTCCCTCTCTGACTCCCTCTCTGACTCCCTCTCTGACTCCCTCTGACTCCCTCTCCTCTCTGTGTCTGACAACTGATTTAACCAACCCGGGATAATCTTGTACGTAAAATAACAGCAATACAGGGTTTGAACCCATACTAGCGATAAACTTACCCTGCTCTGTAGAATACATTGGAACACAAACATATAGAAACCCTGAAAATAAAATAAAAGAAAATATAAATGCATAAACATATAGAAACCCTGAAAATAAAATTAAAGTATAAAGAAATGTGTAAACGAAAAAATCGAGTTAAAAAAAAAAAAAAAAAAAAAAAACAACATAGTCTTTACTTTTTCTAGCAAACGATTTAGTTACTTAATGTAGTTAATTAATTTTGTTAATAAGTAATACACTAAATCTGTTACAGTATAGTGTGGTCAGTTCTATACTCTATAACACGGTAACCTTGAAAACCAAGCAGAGCTAGTAGCATGAAGTTCACGTCAACAGAATTCCGCTTTCATAGTCTCTCAGACATGAGACATTTTTAAAGAAATCTCGAATCATCTTAAAAATGTCTTTCTCAACCGCCCCCTCCCCCGAACGAAAGAGAATTAATAAAGAAAATAAATAATTTTACCAGTTTCAGCCCACACTCCCATCCCCCGGAATATTTAGTCCGCTTCACCCCAGAAAATTTCAAGTGACTTCCACCCCCCCCCCGTTCCCATGTAAAAAAAAAGTCTAAAAGAAACTCTAATAATTTAGTCAAAAGCCCTTTACAATGAATAATCTTCATTTGTCGAAAATTCGCCAATGGTATACCGATATATTATTTTTTAAAAATGCAAACCTGTGAAGCGTTTAATGCTGCATAGAGATACTGCAAGAGTTGAATTTGGTACATCAGATATAAGATCACCAGTGCCCATGTCAAACAAGTGATCGAATTCAGTACACTAATCGATATAATCTCTAGCCTGTTAGAATAGATTAATTTACTCATACATTTTTTGCAGGTGTAGAACAATACATACTTTTATATTTATTTACAAACACGCGTTGTTAAATTAAAACAATTTAATTCCGATCTTAAATACTACATAGACACTAACTTAAAGTTATGTTGTTTTTATAAACTTAGGGACGGCGTGGTTGAAAGGTAGAACTTTCGACTGGTAACGAGAAAGTCTCGAGTTCGAATCCCGGACTCGAGTCTGTAGAACGTCTCTAAAAATAATGTGTATCTAACCTTACGTTAGTAACATTAAGACCTAGGTCATTGAACCATGTGGATTCTGTTCCTAGTGTCTTGAGCAGAAAGAAGGTGATTATTATATTAAAAAGAATACATATCACAAATTGCCATGCGATCTTGATATTCATTTTTTTAATAATGAACCAAATTAAGTTGAACACAATAAATCTAAGTTATGAATTAATGCAAATTAATTAACCTGTGTGGCTTAGTATTTGCACAGCAGGACATCACCAAAACAGAAAGATTGATCTGAAACAAAACCAGTTCGATACATTTTAATTTTTGTTTATGTTTGTTCTATTAAATTTTGGTTAGCGTGTTTTACATTTCCCGACAACAAACTCTATTGCCGTAAATACCAAGTATGTAGAGTTGTGTATATAACTAATGTGACATTTTTATATCAACTCACCACTCAAGTAACAAGTGCAGGGATGACAAACTAATGTGATATTTTGTTATCAACTTACCACTAAAGTAACTAGTGCTGGGATGACGAACTAATGTGGCATTTTGATATCAACTTACCACTAAAGTAACTAGTGCTGGGATGACGAACTAATGTGGCATTTTGATATCAACTTACCACTAAAATAACAAGTACAGGGATGACGAACTAATGTGACATTTTGATATCAACTCAGTAACAAGTGCTGGGATGACAAACTAATGTGACATTTTGGTATCAACTCACCACTAAAGTAAAAAGTGCTGGGATGACGAACGCCCAGAAAATTCCAGAACCTATTGAAACCCAGCAGCTGTAAAACAAGAACTCAATGTCAAGATCAGAGACTACGTGGTTGTAAGGTAGAGCATTTGGTTGTTAGCTCCAAGCTCTCGAGTTCGGATCTCGGTTCGGACTTATGACGTTGCAAAATCTAAACATCTCTAACGGTACATGATTTTCGTTTTGGAAAGTAAAAACATAATGCTGTCCACACCATTTCTTTAATGAAACGTATGAAATGTATTTCATCTCTACAATGGACCACAATGGAGTCATTTTTTTTTTATTACACATCATGTAAACAAGAAACTCCTATACTAATACAAGTTTTGAAAAAAAAAAAAATTCCAAAGGAAGATTATATGGGATTAGGTCTACACATAAAGTTTGATTGTCCTCGTAAATAGAACTTCGAAATAATTTCCTCAATAATTTGTGCGTGGTCAATTTAATTAAGCATTACGTTTTTTTAATGACATAACTAAATTTTTCATCAAAGATTTCGCAAAACTAAAAAAGCATTAAAAAAAACAAGGTTTGTTATGTTACATCCAATCAACATTGAAATGTTACTAACACTGATGTATTTCCGAAGCCCTCGGATTTAGTGGCGACAACTGTTGCGATAGACACAGTGACGATGATCAAAGGGCAACCTGTAAATATATTTAGCCGGTTAATATTTAACCAGAGTTTCTTCCAGGCATCTTTTCGGGGGTGGTGGAAGGAGGGGCTCGGCACCCTCGAAGAAAGTCTACCGCCCCCACCCCCCGAACGAGATGGAATTTATATAGTAAACATATACTTTTACTAGTGGGAGCTGACTGTGATAGATTTACCATGAAATAAGGTTCATGGTAATGAAATCTGTTTTTAGCATGTATTACGTTGGACGTGTGTTTACTTTTCCTAATTGTTTTTTTTTAACTAGGTAATACTATCGTCGATATTTAATTTAATAATCTGAAAAAAATAGTGTAACATATTTTAATAAATATTCCTGGGTAAATTATTTCTGCGTCGGTTAAGTACGAATTATTTTATAATTAAACAATAGCGTTAAATAATTAGGGTAAAGAAAATCAAATAATCCAGAATGAATTTTTTTTTAATGTGTCTCAGTATTTGAAAAGTCTTACCGTATGCCAAAGCCAGCGCGTGACGTATGATGGAATTGTTGGATTGTTTGATGCCAGACTTGAGGTAGACGAGACCTTGACCCAGCAGGGAGAAAAACACGACCAGGAACAGGAAGTGAAGACCGGCAGCGATGACGGTGCACATGACCTTTGATAAAATCACTTGACAGTTAAAAATAGAATAATTCCTTTGAAGGAGCATTAAAAAGGATAGACTGTTGAGTTGAATGTTGTCATGTTGTTGTGTGAAGTAGCTACTAAAACGCGCTTATATAGGTTTTTATCTTTACTATTCAAGCTACAGACGAAGATTATGTGTTGTGTAGTGTAAAGTAGCTACTACAAGATTCACTAATATAAGTTTTATTTGTAGTAATCAAGCTACTAACAAAGACTATATGTTGTGTATAATTTTAAAATCCTTTTTGGGTCACATTCAATTCAGCGCGAGCGTGAATCAGTAAGTAATCAGTAAGTAATCAGTAAGTAAGTAATTAGTAAGTAATAAGATAAAGGAAAAAAAAAACAGTCTGTCATGTTGCATACATATCGAAATGGTACTGTTGTAATTTGATAAAAATGTGCATCAGAGGCGTAGCCACCCTTCCCGGCGCCCGGGGACAAACTTTTCGATTTGCACCCCCCCCCTCTCGAACTTTTATTTCCAATCCCCCCTCAAACTTTCGATTTGCACCCCCCCCCTCGAACATTTCATTTGCACCCCCCCTCAAACTTTCAATTTGGCACCCCCCTAAGGTCGGCGCCCGGGAACATATGTCCCCCCGCCCCCCCCCCCCCTCGCTAGGCCTCTGATGTGCATACTGCACTGACTATAAATGAATTCACTTAACGCCTCACTCACCGCAATACTTCTTGTTTCCAAGCTTCCCCCTCCACTTCCCCACCCCCAACCACGCGGAAATAAAATTGAAAAAAAAAAACATAGCAAATACTCCTCTCAAATAATTTCGTATTTCTTTCAAGCACATCCATTTTATAACGCCGTAGTAATTTGTAAAATTTATTTTCTTTCTGATCTAAAATATTTTATCTGACTCACCTACAATAATAATAAAGTAATTATCATATTGTTTTTTGCCAATTAAAACCCATACTTACCCTGTTCCCAGTTTCATTGATTCCAAATATAAAAACTAAGTTCCCAATGATCAGAAACACGGAGATGTTGATGTTCAAGATAAAATGATCAGATTTGATATGTCTGTGTGAATGAAAAAAAAGGTAAGGAACAACTTTGATTTTTAAAGCGACACTGTCGGCTTAAAAATATACAGCAAAGACGAAGCTGCATATATGGTGTCTCAGTCGATCGGCGAAGTGTGCAGTCACATGTACGCACGCAAAGATGCACGTCCGCAAGAAACCACACACATACACACTCACACACACACGCATATATATATATATATATATATATATATATATATATATATATATATATATATATATATAATAGAATTTGCTGTGTTAATCAGTATACATTGAATGCATTAACAATACGACATTGGCAAATTAACCTATTGCCCAGAATTCCTCAAAACGTGATTTTTGAGAAAGATAAAAAAATGAGCCCTTACCTCCATGTTATGATGTAGATAATGAGAGTAACCAACAGGAAGGCCATACACACACAAGATCCTACTATTGACAACCAGTCAAACAAAATCAAGTGATTTTCCTACAGAAATACATTAAAATTTCTATTACGTTCTAAAGAAAAACTGTTTAGTAAGCTATTTAGTAAAATAACTCCTCAGGTATTTGTTTCATTGAACACAACGAGAAAACGAGTATGGTGAACACGACATTGGAATTACGTAAACCAGCAGAGGCCATATAAACATGACAACAAGTAATGATATAGTCAACTATGGTGTCACAACGTCATTCTTCCCTCTCACACGGATTAGGGAATGATTGATTCATTAAAAACATACATATTCATATAGCTAATATCGCCATAAAAATCGTTTTTAAATACAACGTTTACATTTTGGAATAATCTTATTAATACTATTAAGATTAATGCCTGCTTAATACAGATTTTAATGTTCCTTTTTTTCTTATATTGTTTAATTAATACATACATTATACGTCATGTTTTTGTTGGTTTGAATGTTTGTTTCAGTGTTGTTGTTCCACCTATAAAAACAACTGAATGTTCGACATGCAACACAACACAAAACAACGAAACACAACACAGCACAACACAACACAACTTACCGTTGATGTTGTACGAACCAGGACAGCGAAGAGTTTATTAGCCTGCTCACATGCACACGTCACCTGGTACTGACCACGACTGACCACTCGGCAGATGTTGCCTTCACCGATCTGTAGACCACTGCAATAAGAAAATAGGTATGTTGATTGCCATCTAGAACAGGTAAATATTTAATGAATTTTACCACAATTATTATAAGAACTTATGTTTTTGTATTACTTATGTAAAAACTACACATAACTGAAAAACACGTAAAAGTTATTTTAACACTTTGAACGGTTTTTATTTATGAAAATTAATTCATATGACATGAATATAACTACACATTATGCACTCGGAAAGAAGTGTTGATTAATAATATCATTTAATTACAGTAAGTCAATTTCCGCGATTCAAATATTTATGTGAAGTGCAATGTACACAAATAATGCTGGTAAGTTATTTGTTTTTTAAATGATACTGCAGAATTGGAAAGTAATTATACTATAGCCTTATGTTTTTTTTTAAAACGTATGTCCAAATACACATCGGCTTTAAAAACATTAAATTATTATAATATTCAATAAAAAAAAAATCAGCTTTCATTTGAATCTACAAACAAAAATTTGAAAAAAAATGTCAAAAATGTAATGCTTATTAAATTAACATATAGGATGGTATTTAGCTTTGTTTTTCTTTAAGGATAATGTGTAGTATATGAGCTATTTGCATTCTATTTATTTTCATACATTTTATTTTAATCGATCGTAAATGCTAGTAAATGTTCGTTACCCTGGCAACATATCCAGGTATACACACTCGGGCTGTGTATTCGTTGTCTGTAAGAAAAGATAAAACGTATTTATTACGATAATCACACAGCCAATAAAGTCTTATTCATGATTAAAGCTAATATGACTAGGTCTAGTAAGTCTACTTATAATACATAGCTACTTACAGCGAGTATCGTGAAGTTAAGGTAAAGTGGTCTATCAACAGTTACTTCCCCTTGTGTTATGTTGAAGAAAATAATCTCAGAAACAATTTTATAGTTTTGGAGTTCTTTCCCTTCGACGGTCCTACAATTAGGGTTCAGAGTGAAAAAAAAAAGTACTTTCAGGTAAATGAATTAACAAAAAAAATCAACAAAACAATAAACAAATGTCATACAACTTTTAAAGTAATCAGGCCAATTGTGTAAAGTTGTATTTATTAAATATCGTTAATTATGATAATTAGTAAATATTTACGAGTTGTGTGCCTTGGCGTTGATCAGTTGCAAGTTCGCGCCATCTTTGAATACAATCACATAATAGTGAGGCGGATCCGCATAATCTAGAGAGGGGATTAAGTTAATTCGAATAATCCAACGTACCATTAATGTACAGGTCTAGTAATGAAAATAAAAAAACATAGTAGGCATTGACTATATATATTTAAAAATATGCTGATTATAATGTGCTAACATGTATGATTTAGGAAAAGTTAGTTTAAAAATAAATATCTGTAAAATTGGTAAAAAACGTATTCTAAAATTTAAAACATAATATATTCTATTTATATATATAATCTTTTTAAGTTTACTAAATTATAATAATTAATTTTCACGGGATTATTTTATACATAACGTAAAGATGTAAATTAAAAAAACAAAACAATCTATAGCATTATAACGAGCATGTTTTTAAACAAGAAGCAAGGCCGACAACCTACCAATGACGAGACCTGGTAAATCCTGACTTGCTTCCCTTGGTAGAGCTACACCTATCTTAGAATAAACATTCCAACTGATGTTCAGTATAGCGCTTGTATTAATGGTAGGAGGGAAATCAATGACCCCTACAGCTTTACCTTTGTAGACAGCTGGGGATAAACACATTTAGTAGCACATTGGTTATGGTATGTTGAAAGGGTATATATTTCTAACCTATTATATTACGAGAAAAATGGCCCGTTGAGGAAGGATACACCGGGCGCTAGGTTGATAGTGCTGTCTCTTTTCTCTAAACAAAAACCACCCCCCCCACACACACCACCCCCACCCCCACCCACACCCCCACCCACACCACCCCAACCCCCCACCCCCCCCCACACACCACCCCCCACACACCACCCCCCCACCCCCACCCCTACACACACCACCCCACACACACACCACCCCCCACCCCCACCCCCCCCCCCCCCAAAAAAACATGTCTACCGTCCCATTCAACGAAATATAATTATATACTTTTTCCAGTGTCCGCCCCCTCCCCGAAAATTCTACACCCGCCCCCGAAAATTTCAAGTACCCTCACCCCTCTCCGGGGAGGAAAAAGTCTAAATTAAAACCACCCCCCACTCACCCCCACCCCCCCCCCCACACACACCACCCCCCCCCCACCCCCCACCCACCCACCCCCCCCCCCCCCCCCCAAAAAAAAAAGCATGTCTACCGTCCCATTCAACAAAATATAATTATATACTTTTTCCAGTGTCCGCCCCCTCCCCGAAAATTCTACCCCCCGCCCCCGAAAATTTCAAGTACCCCCCACCCCTCTCCGGGGAGGAAAAAGTCTAAATTAAAACCACCCCCCCACTCACCCCCCATCCCCCCCCACACACCCCCCCCCTCCCCCCACCCCCCACCCACAACCCCCCCCCCCCCTAAAAAAACATGTCTACCGTCCCATTCAACGAAATATAATTATATACTTTTTCCAGTGTCCGCCCCTCCCCGAAAATTCTACCCCCGCCCCCGAAAATTTCAAGTACCCCCCACCCCTCTCCGGGGAGGAAAAAGTCTAAATTAAAACCACCCCCCCACTCAACCCCCCCCCCCCCCACCCCCACCCCCCTCAGACGTTCTTACGCGGGGGTGGGGCTTCGCCCCTACCCGAAGAATTGTATGCAAGAAACTCTTCACGCAAACCATTTAGATTAGACAACATTTCCTTTTTTTCAATGTTTCAATGACGTCATTACATTACTGTGTGCACTCTCTGGTTTGAGATTATGTTCTACTCTACGCTAAATGTGTCGACGTCATATTTCGTTTTTCGAATTACTGTGCAGGTTTTTAAATTCCTTGTGTTTTCTCTAGAGCGTTCTTGTCAGACAGATAGATAGATAGAGAGACAGCGAAACTATTATTATAGATGCCTATTGTTCACTTTCCGTAATTGATTTCAACATGTACATACGACTTGTCTGATGTATACCTGAATTTTTGATAACGTTAAAGCGGGACTGTCGTGTACCTTTTTGAACATTACGGGTCAGGTAAAGTAGAGTTCACCTGTTTCTATGACCCAGGCATATGAAGGAATAGCCCTATCTTTCCTAGAAGTAAGTCAGGTACCCATTGAAACTCGGTTTGCCTAGGGACGTCATAGGGACTCGAGACTTTCGGGATTACTGTCAAACTCTCTACCATACAACTACACCGTCCACTAGAAGCAGTTTTAACGTAAAAAAAATAAAAATTGTGGTTTTTTCTTATACTACCCATGTATGGTCTCTTTGAGTAATTAGTCAAATAAGTCACATGGTACCAGATGATCAAAGTTTTGAGATTGACATGTCTCTCATCAAACTGATTCTTTCTTACGTCATTGATTGTAGTGTTACGGTTAAGGCTTCTATAAAATGGGGTTACATCTAAGGAATTAAGTCTTTCTAAGGATAAGCCAACGAGTATATTTCTAAACACAGACCACATGTTTTATTATAACACACCAGATATTACTCAGGAACTCACCAATATTTTTTAATTCGATAAAAATTGCATCCTCGTCCTGAGCTGATTTCGAGGCCTCATCTAGGGAGTTCAAAATATGTAACAATTGGGTCCAATGGTGCATAGCGTTGTTCCCCAATCCTGTCGCTAGTGCTTCGTCAACCATGACGGTGGCGTTCTGTTTGAATTAGGAACCATTTAGGATTATCCTAAGAGTATTTTAAGAATATATTGATGCTTCTACTTGCCTACTCAATGCATGCAACATTGTTTGATACCAAGGCAGTTTTTTTTTAAAATGCATCTCAAATGAGTGATTTGAAAAAAAGCAAACACAATAAAAATAGAAATATGCTGCTATTACTGATGATGTGGATGATGAAGATGATGTTGATGTTGATGTTGTTGTTGTTGTTGTTGATGATGATGATGTTGTTGATGTTGATGTTGATGTTGATGTTGATGTTGATGTTGATGTTGATGTTGATGTTGATGTTGATGTTGATGTTGATGTTGATGTTGATGTTGATGTTGATGTTGATGTTGATGTTGATGTTGATGTTGATGTTGATGTTGATGTTGATGTTGATGTTGATGTTGATGTTGATGTTGATGTTGATGTTGATGTTGATGTTGATGTTGATGTTGATGTTGATGTTGATGTTGATGTTGATGTTGATGTTGATGTTGATGTTGATGTTGATGTTGATGCTGTTGTTGAAAATGGTGATACTATGGTAACGGTAACGATAATGGTAATGGTAAGGGTCAGGGTAAGGGTAAGGGTAAGGGTAAGGGTAAGGGTAAGGGTAAGGGTAAGGGTAAGGGTAAGGGTAAGGGTAAGGGTAAGGGTAAGGGTAAGGGTAAGGGTAAGGGTAAGGGTAAAGGGTAAGGGGTAAGGATAAGGGTAATGGTAACAGTCATTTGATAAAACTTATAAGAAAAATATTAATACTAATTATAATAATAACTATAACACTAATAATAAAATGCCCCTTACATATAAGAGCTGCATGTCTATTTTTATGTCTGTTTCTGGCATTAAAGAAGTATCTTCTATGCACTCTGTTGTGTCACTTGGTTGGTCTGTGGTTGTATCAGCCCTCGTGGATTGCTCGTCTTCCTTCCACGTCTCAGACTGAATCAGTGGAACTGCTGTCGTGCCTTCATCAATGCCCGGAGAAGAAGCTGTTGTTAGGGCACTGTCACTAGCGACACTCGGTGGAGGGGTTGTTGTTTCCGGAGTGTTTGGCTGAGCCGGCTGAGTTGTTGTTGTAGGGGGCTTAACTTTAGTTGTTGATGGGGTTGTTGGAGTTACGGTTCGTGTTTCATAGTTTCTCGTAGTGGTGATTTCCCTTACACCTATGGGATAAACTTCAGTAGTCTGTAGCATCGTGGAGTCTTTGCGAGTAGAAGCTACCTGTGTCTGTTGGGGAACAAATCAATAAACAATTAAAACAACATAAAATACAATAGTTATTAATTTTAGCACTACCTTTTAAATACAAAAATACCGGGGTAGGTGTGGTCGGGAAGGTGAAACTAGTGTTTGCTAAACCGAAAAGTCTCGAGTTCGAAACCTCATGTATATGAATTTCGATAACTGGGTGCAGCAAAACATATAGGTGAAAAAACTCCACAAACAAATCAACTGCTGCTATTCAGCCTTATCTGTCTGGGGGATGCTGCTATTTAGCCTCATCTGCCACGGGGGGTGTGAACTCAGGACTCTCGCTTTAGCAGCCATGAACTTTACCGACCCAACCACTTTCCCAACTATTTCTTTTAATACAAGACTATCTGATTTACTCAAAATTGATTTCTGCCAAGTCCTTTATATTAGATCTGATATTTTTATACCACTAACCATTATCGTATTCCATTACGTATTCGACCTATTATTAAAGCGACACCAGTCAACGTATTTATTTTCAATTGGGAAAGTAGGTTTTAACTAAACAATCAATTTATATCTTACCAACTCACCGTATTTGCGATAGTTCTCTTGCTATTGCTAGAAGAAATATTTCCTGTAAAAAAATAAAAGTATATTTTTATAAATATAACAAAATCAACTTATTGTAACAAAGTCATAATCTTGATATGTGTAACATCAATACCAAGTACGTGGCTTAGTTCATACAGTAACATTTGATTGGTTAATCACTTAATCTCTAATTTAAATTACACGCGCTACCGTGTAAGTGAGTGCTAGACAGCCTATGTATAGAAAACTGCCTTAACATTATTTTTTTCAATCTTTAAATATAAGAATTCCTGTTTCGATTTAACTTTCTCAGTTTCGAACAGCAAAGGCTGATTACATATGTAACTTTCTCTGATTCGGCAGTATAGGCTGCTTATATATAAAAATTTATCTGATTTGTCAGTAAGGGCTGCTTACATAATCAACTTTCTTTGATTCGGCAATAAGGACTACATTATGTATGTATTAATTGTTGTTGGTGTAATATGAACTGCGTCAATAATGATTCAACTTACTTTGATACGGCACTAGATGCTATATTAACAATCATTCCTCTATGTTAGTTACGTACAGACCTAATCTTTATGTTTATTCTCATTAACTCGATACTGGAATAAAAAAAAAAGTTCTAACCTTCATCGATGAGGATTGTCTTCGTGATTTTAGGAGGCGCTCCGGGGTTCTTTGAATAGTTACCTCTATAGGTAACTGTCAAGGTAACGTTGTAGTCACTTGAAGATGTTAAGGTAAGGGGAAGGGAGCAATTTGTGTTAAAGTAGTTGTTGACCCTCGTCTCAGTTTGGCTGTTCGACGTATTCTGATAAAGGAAATACAAAACACATGGGCTTGAAAATGAATACGTAAATTCGGGTCAGGTGAGAATTTTATCTAGGAAGTGTGAACTTTACAAATCTTAATTTAATTTAGAACAGCTTCTAAGATAAAATCCGATCTTGAATCATATGAATTAGGTGTGTCTTAACCTACTCAAAACCCCTGAGATTGACTCATCGAAACCCTGGGGTTCGATCAAACCCAAGTGGTGTCGATTTAATTCGGAACAAGCGAAAACAAAACCATAAGTCACAAACGGGACACATTGCATTCAATTTACAAGCTAGCAGAACTGAATATATAAGACTGGAAAAAGAAACGATGCCAAAATTTCCCAGATGAATTATCGGATAGGAAAAAAAACCAGTTGGAACGACATTGGAATTGGTGACTTAAAAGATGCAAACGGAAAACTGAGCGAAAAAAAAAGTGCGTACAGTCATATTCGTTTTCTTAAACCGAGCATTTATAGACATTAACAAAGAGTGACTACAAGTACAATGCATTATTATAAAACATATTTCATAGAAAACGACAATATTAAAATGTATTATTCATATTATATTGTGTTTGCTCATTTTTCTGTTTGCGCAGTTTTCCTGTATCTGCCTGGTGTCGGGCTATATACATAGTTAACTCTGGACAAACTAATGAAGATTTACTATCAAAGATAGAATGGTAGAAAGTAAAGACTCTGTGGGTACCGTTTTTCTCCCGACTCTGTATTTCCACTGGCACGTGATCTTCGGAAAGTGCCGACGTATCATACAGCTGACCATCGGAGCAGCAGACGAGAGGTTGTAGCTGCAGACTATTTCTTCTGGAGTGGCTTTAAGTTAGAAAAATACAGGAAGAATGATCATATGAATAGGATATTAATCTCAGTGTTTCTTTCAAACTTTTTTTTTCTCAAGAGCGGGGGGTGGGGGCACTTGAATCTTTCGGGGGGAGGGGGCAGACTAAATTGTAAATAGCGGATATACTGGTAAAGGTATATACTTTCTATATTAATTTTATTTCTTTAAAGTGGGGGGGGGGGGGGGGGGGGAATTTAGCACCCCCCCCCCCCCACAAAACATGCTTAAAATAATCTTTACCATCAAAACCCTGTAATATTCCCGATTATATTAACCCAGTTAACCATAATTATCACTCAACGTTAATTAAGGTTTAATACTATCTGAAGTAATTGTTAAAAGATAACTTACCCCAAACGAAAATTTTACATGTTTGTGTAGACTCTAACAACGCTCCATCCTGCATCACGTTGAAAAACACATCCCAGCTTCCGCCCGTGATGTTATTCACGACGACCTCCAGCGTAACTTGATTCGATGTACGACTCACATTAACACTGTACCCCGGTGCAGCGGATTTTTGGTTCTCGTACCAGCCTGCGATCTCGCGAGAGTTCCTGATCACGGAGAGGCGGACGTTGCTGGGTAGAACGGCGTTGGTGACGCTGGCTTTGATGGCTGTGTGGCCGAGCTGGGCTGGGACACAGGTGAGGCTTGAGGTGACTGGGTCTAGGAGTGTCCAGAAAAAATAGTGTTAAAATCTATGTATATATATATATATATATATATATATATATATATATATATATATATATATATATATAATTCTCTTCTTGGAGACGTTAGAAAACAAGCTGTGAGCGCGCCTTGCAGTCCCTTCTCTTCCTCTCTAGGAAGTCTGGTGAGCTGTGGTTCACGCTAAATGTTTACAATCGTAGAGCCGGTTTAGTGACGGCTATTAGGGGCAGATAATGTAGTTTGAAACGATTTTAAAGTTAGGGGAGGTAACGAAGAGGAGTTTGCTTTCAATGGGGGGGAGGGGGGTATCGTCCTTAACGACCATCAGATAGTGTTTTCAAGCAAATATATTCAGTGGCAGCATTGGCACTGTCGAATTCACAAATTATGAATTACTGAAAAGTAGAAAATATAACAACTAAATAGCGGCGTATGCTACGCAGCGGATCAGCTCGTGTGATATATTTCTTCTATATATTTTCCTTAACCGGCGTATTTATTTCCCTTTATACACGTGACAACGCGCACTCCCGCAAATGTAAATACACGATATAGCACATTAGCAATGTACACACACTACATAAGATATTCTCTCACTAACATGCACATGAAGGCGTGGCCTAAGGATGCAAACCGAAAGTCTCGAGTTCGAGTCCAGGTTAAAGTCAGTGAAATGTTCCTGAGTCCACCCAGCTCTAACGGGTACCTAACATGGTAGCAAAAGTAAGGGTGTTTGGGCAAAGTGCTGACCACACATTCCCTTCATATGTCGAGGTTAAGAAACATATGAATTCTACTTCGTCTGATAAATGGATCACTAGATCTAAGAAGGATTCTTTACTTTTTTGTATGTGCATAACAACACACTCGCTCAAGTGCATTATACTATAAACGCATTCGCTCATTGTACACACAACATAACACATTAACGTAAGTGTGTATTAACGAGAACGTACATGTGCTCGCTTTTAAATATGCAAGAAAGTATATTCTAATCATAAAACAAATTAATACAAGTAACAAACACTTAATTAACTTTCTTTTTTCAACTACCTTCTATAAATTGCATGTTCACAGGGCGTAGCGAGGGGGGGGGGGGGCGGGGGTGCGGACCGCACCGGGTTGACACCAAGGCAAAAAATAGCAAAATATATAGAGAAAAACTTGAGGGGGGGGGTGCAAATCGAAAGTTTGAAGGGGGGGGGGGGGGTGCAAATCGAAAACTTGAGGGGGGGGGGGGTGCAAATCGAAACTTTGTCCCCGGGAAGGGTCGATACGCCTCTGGGGGGTGACACCATTAAGTCACGCACCGGGTGACACCCGACCTTGTTACGCCACTGCATTTTCAGGGTTAGAGAGGGTAATGTTTTAATCAACATTCCTTTGTCGAAAAATTCTTAAAATATAATTATGAAGTCAACATAAATATATCTGTAACTTTGTTTGAGTTTTTAATCACTAAAATCTTTTAAAAACCAAACTAAATGAAGAAAAATTATAATAAGGGTTTGTGACACATGCACTTTGTTTATCCTTGACCAGCCCTGTGGCAATTTTAGATAAGAGAAATTTAGAAAGCAGTTATCTAACTTTACGATCTCTTTTCAAACAAGGATGTCTAATACGCAAATGGAGAACTGCGCAAACAGAGACAAACGCAATTACAAACTAATTAAATAATTTTGTGTCATTGTGTCACGATCATTTTTTTCCACTCTATTGTGCGGAAAATGTTTTATTATGCTACAATGTACATGTGGTCATTATTTATAATGTTTGAAAATGCTAGAATATGAAAAATAAATTATTTGCGAACATTTGTATGCAGTTTTCCTTTGCGCAATTTTCTGTAGCGCAATTTTCCGTTGCGGTTTTTTTTCTCGGTTGGAAGGGGGCGGGGAAGTTGAGATGTAGTGTGATCTTCTTGGCTAATGATTTAAAAAAATATAACAATTAGTATATTCAATATAACAGACGCCAATTGCGAGGGTAATTTACTGATTCTACATTTGTTAAAGTATAATCTTGTTATGCTCTTAACGTGAACGTTAAGTAGAGACTATCTTTGTCAAGCTTAACCGAATAATATTTGATAATAAATACATTTTTTGAAAGATGAGCAATACATTTCGACGTTGAATTTTGAATTTTTGAATTTTAAATTGCAAATTATTATTAATACATGTACTAAATATTAGTTAACTAATTATACAAACAGTATAAATAAACATTATTCGTATTTTGATACAATGTTTTATATTTAATGTTATTGTATAGAGCGCTTTATTTATGCTTCAAGTCAGTCCTTAAAAAAAATGAATAACGAATCAGGCTCGTAATGTTATAAATTATTTTTTGTATTTCTCGTTCGATAAAAGTCTTCAATTCAATAATCTTTTTAATGCATATTTCCGTAAGAGAAATGTTTATATCATCGTGTATAATCCAAGGTTGCAGTTATTTTTACTTCCTTGGGATAGAACATGTTATTCAGACAATTGAACTATTTTTAAACATGCACTTTCGTAAATTGTTTATGGCGCCTGCGAGACAACTCATCCTGCACTTAAAAGGGGATACAACTCTTCACTCACTTGTCACTAATGTTGTTGGCCTTTCGCGGGGAGGAGAATAAAGATGGGGGATTTCCTGAGAGACACGTTCAAGTGTCTAAGTTTTGTTTATTTTTTTGTGTGATAAGAATTGTGAATACGCCCTGTTGTGTGAATTGAGAAATATTTGTGTACCGATGTAGCAAACGGTTAAGCGGGCTGATTTTAATATAAAGAACTTGCATGACAGGGTTATTTTTTTTATGGGTAGGTACAGGAGCAGTTGTTGCCGAGAGGAGCAGAAGTAGACAGTGGGAGGAAATGAGTTATAAGAGCAGCAAAAGACAAAATGAGCAGTAGTAAAATATAACATCAGTAGTAGATTATAGGAGATGTAATAGAATAGAGGAGTAGTAGTAGTCAATAGGAGCAGTAATAGACTGTAGAAGAGGGAGGCTATAGGACTAATTGTTTATCATATGAGCCGTAGTAGAACATAGGAGCAGTTGTAAATCACAGGAGCTGTAGTAACATATGAGCTGTAGTAGACTATAGGAAGCATTTTTGAATACATCAACACTTATATACTATGGGATTAGAAGTAGGGAATGTGAGAAGTATTATAAGATAGCAGTGTAGAACGATAATTTATACATCTACAACGTTAGCAGAAGCAAATGTATAAATGAACCGACAGTGTTAGATAATAGAAGAGTTGTACAAGCAAGCTGTCGTCCATTGTACATACAATATGTATAGTTGTACATCGTTATGGCTTATGTTTTTACACGGTAACATGTTTCAGTCGGGAACAAATTTTATCAAGTTTAATTATTTAAAGACACACACACATACACACATGCACACACATACACACACACACACATATATATATATATATATATATATATATATATATATATATATATATATATATATATATATATATATATATGTATATATCTGTAATGCTCTATTACCTTCTGCTCTTTCACAGCCCCGTACCCAAATAACGCCACTCCTAAGACCGCCAGACATTGCTTACAATGTAACCATTGTGCTTGCTACATACACAACCTTGCAACACCCTACGCGAAAACTCTAAATCTTGGCATTTTTTATTTTGTTTCCTTGCGATGTTTATGACAATAAATGTTTTAAAAAGTCGCCATATTAGTTTTGTTTGTTTGTACGAATGTGATCGTTAAACTCATGATGTTTTTTTAAAAATAAAATTACAGTATGAAATAATGATCGTACGTTATATCCAACAGGCATAGTAGTTCCGCCACTGTATTAAAACCAGTAGAGTACCGAGGGGGGGGGGGGGGGGGCGGGGCGGGGGGGGGGGGACATATGTCCCCGTGCGCCAACCTCAGGGGGGGGGGGCAAAATGGGTCGGAAAAATACATTGAAAGGTTGAGGGGGTGAAAATAGAAAGTTTGAGGGGGGTGCAAATCGAAATCTCGAGGGGGGGGGGTGCAAAGAGAAATCTCGAGGTGGGGGTGCAAATCAAAAGTGTAAGAGGGGGGTGCAAATCGAAATCTCGAGGGGGGGGAGGTGCAAATCGAAAAGTTTGTCCCCGGGCGCCGGGAAGGGTCGCCGCGCGTCTGGTTAAAACCAGTTTGAACAATGTCGCGGTCAATGCTCGTTTGATCGCTAGCACCAGTTTGACAGTACCAACAGTAAAACAAAACACTACCACTTAGTGAGTCACGTGGTTACCTATATCAGCCACTAACCATCTCTGATTCAACACCACTCCAGTTAAAAACGACACAACATTCAAACCGATATCTAAGACATTTAGTCGGACTATGCAGTCAGTGTTTTTTAACTGACGGGGAGGGGGGGGGGGGGTAAGATGGGAAGGGCTCTTGAAATATTTGGTGAGGGTGGGGGGGGGGGCTGACATTTGTCTGTGCGGATACAAAGGTAAAAAGTAAAAGTATTACTTCGTTCGCGGGGAGTGGGGGGTGGGGGATGAAGGAGAGAAGAGCGGTAGGAGAGTGGGCGGCGGCAGACGTGCCTCATGAGCCGGTGTTGTCCAGTTAGAAAAAAAAGAAAGAAAGCAAGAAAGAAAGGAAGATAGATAAACAAAGAAAATAAAAACAAAGAAAGAAAGCTAGAAAGGAAGAAAGTAAACAAGAAAGAATAGAAGATAGAAAGAAAAAAAATAAATGAACAGAGAAAGAAAAATAAAAGAAAGAAAAAAAAAGAAAGAAAAAAAGAAGAAAAAAAAAAGAATGCCGCTGATCGAAGTCATTTATACATATTGAGAAGACATGTTCCCATTGTTAAGACCTAGACCTCACTTATCGACAACACATCACATCCAACAACCACACCCTCAGCATCCATAGACGAATGGTCAGAACAAAATTTTAAAATGATTATCAAAATACCTCAGAACTACTTCCCTGTTGAGGACTAGTCATTATTTAACATGCACAATGTCGCCCGATTATATCCCCGCCCTTCTTTCCTAGCCTACCAACGCCCAAAGATCATCTCTTTTGCAAATAGACACAATCCCTAAAAGGAGTCCGACGAAATCTCGATCCCATCTCCTTCAATTCTCACGAAACAAACGTGTCTTTATTATTTGTAGGCCTATGCGTATAAGATATATACAAAACTAGTAATTCGGCACCCATGACTCCCTTCCTTACATAACTCATTATAATGGGCGATTTCATTAATTGAAGACCAACAAACTAAAACATAAACACTTCCTCAAATACTTACCTTTCGTAGCGACAGCCACAACGAGAGATAGAAGTATTACCACTGTATGTAACATTGTGGCGTTAATGTTCACAACTGTAAGTAAAGTGGAAACATTACACAGATAGATGTAGGGCCTATGTGCTTGTATAGAAATAGTTTGGTTGTGATGAGAAGAAATAGTCGTGAGTGATCTCTAAGCAAGCAAGACAATTATAATAGAAAGAAATTACATGTAATGATTATTTTATAATTAAGCAGTAAAAATGTATTTTACATCTGTCGGAATATTCTAAAAAAAAAAATAAAAAACAAAAAAAAAAAAAAACAAAAAAAAAAAAAACAGCTAAATACAGTTAAATGCGTACCATATTATGTTTCTTGGAAACAAACGCAAATTGATAATTTGAAAAAAAAAATATTTTAAACTAAATTAGTACTTAAAATCTGCAAAGTTTTAAATTAAATAACATTTATAAAAGTAACTGTTGATTACACTTTCTTTATGTTTATATCTAAAAACATATTTAAAACTTACCAGTATCAAACTTATTCCAGCTGTTAACACACCGCTTCCCTCCCTTGTTTAAGGCGTGGACGAGTTGTCTGTCTTGTTTTAATGGGGAAGAAATCCACCCACACCGCCTCGCTGTTTTACTGTGTTCGTTTAACGGGCGTGGTTTAAACCTTGCATGTGTAGGCTCGTGACATCACGAACCCTTATTCACGGATGTAGTAATGTCGAGAGTGCAATTTGGTGATGTACGATTCGCCGATGTAAGATTCGTTGAAATAATATTCGCCGAAGTACAGTTAGCCCTTGTATAATTCACACTAAAAATTCGTTGAAGTAAAGTTCGCCAAGGTACAATTTGTCGATTCACGATTTGCCGAAGTTATTTTCGACGAATCACGATTTGCCGAAGTTATATTCGCCGAAGTACACTTCGCCGAAGTAGCCTACATTTCACAGAAGAAAAATTCGCCGATGTTCAATTTGCCGATGTAGCATACAATTGACCGGAGTACAATTCGCCGAATGGCATTTCGTCGATTTATTTAAACTTGTACCAAGAACAATATTTAACGAATGAATGAAAATGTTGTGTAAAAATTAATACTAATCTTAATCTGTTGAGCTACATTTTGGTTATTGAGATTATGATAACCAGCGTTTTGTTAGACCCAAAAGTAAAAGGTTACTGAAAGAAATTCAACTTGAAAGTAGATTTTAGGGTTAGGGGAAGGTTAAAATTAGTGTTAAGAAATAGTATACAATTTTTTTTAAATGTAAAGCTGCGTTAAGTTTAAGGTCATATTTAAGTAATATCTCCTTGTGACGTTTGCAAACATAAATTACAATAGACGCTCCACCACACATTACAACAGTACACGCCAACACAGCCAAACCAACCTGCTCTGCAACAATTTGTCGTTTGTATTTTGAAGTTGATCCTACTTGTTTTTACGGTTGTTGATTTTATAAACAAAACTTTCCTCACAAATTTCATTTTTGTTTTGTTTTAAATCTTAGGTTGTTTCCGCCTAAGGGAAACAAGCGAGAAATTTATGAACCAGATCGAAAGTATGAGTTGTCTCCTTTTCATTTTCTTTCTATTTGTTTTATGCTGTTTAGTAATAGCATCATTTAAATTAAAGGCGTGCAAAATACTTCAAACAGCCTCTCCCCAAACTTCGTATTTTCCATTTCCCTTCCCCCTTTATTTTTTTAAACACATATTAGACTTGTTAATCTCAGAGATCAAAATGTTGTCTTAACATTTTTCTTTTTAAATGTAGATGCTACATCTACTCAAGGGAAACAAGGAAGTAATTGATGAACGTGAGCTATTGAGACATTTTGCAACGTGTACCTAGATGTTAAATATTGTGTAAATCTCTATAAACACAATTACCTGTGCTTTTCTTTAAATATTTTAAAAACAAACGATGTACGAGTAGCTATAAAATCTTACATATTCAGTTAATAAAATGCTCTAAGGCGCATTTAGAGTTCAATTTTAGCTGTTTTATGGTTACCAAAGACAATCGCTTGTCTATAAAAAATCTCTAAAGTATTGTCTAAAGTAAACCAAACTTAGGCAATAATAGCAGCTTAATGTATTTTTATGACAAGGTTAAGAAGAACATACATAGTTGACCTTTTTAAAAAAGTTTTTGAGTTAGTCATTTATTTATGTAAAACTAGTGTATATATATATATATATATATATATATATATATATATATATATATATATATATATATATATATATATATATAAGCGTTAAACCACCTCGATCCCTTTCAATATTACGTTTCATACCACAATTGAACAGCAAATAATTTCAAACACAAAATCTCATTATTCTCATAACAAGAAAACTGTGACAACTGCGGTTTATCCCATGTGGCCTTCAAATGGTTTATATGGTTACCTAGTGTTCCAATAAAACGTTTCAACAACTAACAATATTGATGGAAAAACTAACAATATTGTTTAGGGTTGTTTTAAGCAAATTCCAAATGACCATCCTTGTTACAAGTAGAATTAATTGAAGCATTCTTTCTGTTAATAATTTCAACGAAAATTAATAAAAGCGAAATTCAACATTTCAACCAACATTTGAAAAAAATATATGGATACTTGTACATGTAACAATTGATATTTAACATTTTAAAATGTGTATATTAGTAAATGTAGTTTTGTTATAGCATAATCAATCTACAAAACTAGAAGAAAAAATTGCTAAATTAAAAAAAAAAATAATAAAAAAATATGGAATAAGAATGGATTTTTTTTTTTAAATAGGATAAGGGAAGTAATTTTCATTTATGATCTCAAGTATGTGTACATCTAGTAAAATTATCATATTAAATAGTTATAAACGTGAGTGAATATATATTATTAAACAAACATTTTTTTTGTAATCATTAGTGTGATACTATAGATTCCATTGTGAAAACGTTTCTTCTTTAACTTCATTTTAAATTTGAAGAAAAACTGTGAGCGTTTTTATATACAAATTATACAACAAGCGATCACTTACATAAGTAATTTAATAAGACAGGTTTAACGTGATCTTTAGTATTATATTTTTAATGTCTTCGTCTTAGAACTTTAATTGCTATTGATCTTCCCTGAAATAAACTTTCTTCAGTGTGCAACAAGTTGTAAACAGTCAAATATTACAGGTCCTAAAATGTTGGATAATGTGACCTGTATATCAACAATCTTAAAAAACCAGGAAAGAGGATTTTCCTGGAATTTTAAAAATTATCTTGGAGATTATTTTCAAGTACGCCAAACTTAACAGCGTCAGATCACGAGGACTTGTAAATAGCTCAGTGCAGTGGAAGTATTTGTAATAATAAACCGGGGAGTGGTCTCCCCTAAACTTTCTCGAATATTCTTATATAAAATAACAGGGGATGGGAACTCGGGCTATAGACATGATTTTTAATCCATTTTAAATACTTAAAGTTTTAAAAATAGAATAAAATCTCGTAGACAAAAGAATTGCACACCAAGTGAACGCCAAATAAAAAAGTGCATAATAGTACTTTAAAAATTTACATTAGTTTTTTGAGAAATCGGAAGTAGCGTAAATTACTACTTCCGGTCAACGGAAATTACTCAAAATTTAACAGAAGGTAAAGAATTAGATCTTTTACTAACATGTGAAATTTCATTTATCTATCTACGATTTTGATAAAATACTTATAAATGAAATTTCATCAACCTAGCTGTAACGGTACTCAAGTTATCGTGTTTACACACACACAGACAGACAGACACACAGACATACGGACAGAATTGCAAAGCCCAGTTTTCAGACTGGATTACTCATAAAAACCTCTTAATTTTGATAAATCTGGATTGGTAATTTTTGCCCGATTAAAATATGTCCTCTATACTTCGGATGTGATGAAGGACTGAGGTGTAATACGGTGAAAATTGTTAAAATTTCAAGTGATTTTTGTGCACGATTACAATACTTTCTCTATACTTCGTATATACGAGAAAGTAAAAAAGGGGACAAATTGTATCGCTGCAATACAGCAAGGCCGGTGTCATGGCTACGCCTTCATCATAAAAATGTGGGCATTAACACAGGGGTTCTCTATTCTTGAGAAAACAAATTAAGTTAATCATCTTTTTGTCAGATCTGACTGAGAACTAAAACAAATAATTCAAGCATTTCTTTGAAAATTTGCATCATTTAAAATGTCCACCATTTTGTATAACTATAAACCATGTACTATGTAATCAATGAATTAGTTGTAGTAATGTAAGCATTATGCAGTTGAATGGTAGGCCACTTATAGAAAGTGTATTACATTATTTAATGACATGGAAGTTGAACTAGAAATAACATTTTTCGCGGATGTAATTAGCTTAATCGTCCAAAATATTGCATTTTCAATAGGTTGGCATGGTACATAAATTTGTTATTCTTATTAGATTTATGTTCCGCAAATTTTAGTATTAACAAAAATTTTGTTAGAATACTTGTAACAGCCCTTCAAGGTCGAATCTTTAGATATTAATGTTTGTATTAATTGTATTATTTAATAATGAAGAAACGGGCAACAAAGAAATATTTATTTTAGTCTCAAAAAAAATGATAAAGTATAAAAAAAAAACAGCAATAAAGAACCGGGTTTTTATCGTAATTATTTAAGGCAATCCATCTGTATGGGTATTTAATTACGTATTGTGGTGTTTTGGTGATTCATCTATAAATATATAATTTAATGCGAATATTATATTTGATATTTGGAAGTTAACGCAAATCCAACCTACTCCCACCCCTATTGCAACCCCCAACATTGGAAAACAACACAAACGACATATAATCGGTGATATAATCTTGCTGTTCTGAATGTATGCTTTTCCGTATGAGTTTATTTTAAAATTTTGAATGCAGCTTAACTAAATATCCAAAACTTTATATACTATTTATTTTTTCTTGTGTTAAATGTATACATTTCAGATTAAAAATCAAATAAGCTTATTATATATGCGATAAACATCTATATCATTTATAATACATACAGTATGTATGTTTAATATATATATATATATATATATATATATATATATATATATATATATATATATATATATATATATATATATATATATATATATATATATATGTGTGTGTGTGTGTGTGTGTGTGTATAGTAGTAGCGTGGCTGTCCAGCTCAGTGTTTCTTCCAGACTTTTTTCTCGGGGGGGGGGGGGGCACTTGAAATTTTCGGGGGGGGGGGGGGCGGTAGACTTTCTTCGGGGGGAGGGACACTGTAAAAAGTATATATTTTCTATATTAATTATTTAAATTTCATTTCGTTCGGGGGGCGGTAAAAAATTTTCGGGGGGTCTAAGCACCCCGAAGAGATGCCTGGAAGAAACTCTGGTCCAGCTTACTATAATGGGGAGAAGAGGAGGGGATAAATGGTTCAGAACATCCGCCTACCTCAGCAGACCTTCAAGGAAGTAAATTAACTCGGCTAACCTATTTTACAAAATTAATCTGGTGAGTGAATGCCCAGACTTCCTTGAATGCTTGATGAACTCG